GACTAGAATTTTGAAACAGGCTATATAAAAGTGCTAACATTGTATAATTCACTATGAATGAAAGAAAAGGAGCAAAGAATAGCATTCTTGCCATTAAATAGCTGCAAAAGTAAAAAGATAAGTTAACAAAGTGAGCCTGAGATATCAAATATAACTGAAAAGTGGAGAAGTAGAAGAAAGTAAACAAGAACAGAAATACAGGAAGAGGAGTTACATAATAATGACTTAAAGAGGAAGTGATAAGGCAGAAAGATATAACTGCATATGAAGTAAGTTTAAAATAAACACCTTTAGAGCTATCATAGGAAAACAGGGGGGGAAAATAAAAAGGCATGCGATTTAATCATTTTTTTAAATACCCATTTAAGGGAGAAATGAAAATGTATCATTTTTAGCAGTCTTTCATCTTAAAAATTATATATAAAAAGGTGTTTGCAATTGTACCATAATAATAGGAGCCAACTTTGAAATGTCTTTAAGAGCAGGCTGAAATACCAAGAAATTCCTCACTAAGAACATCAAAAACACCTATTTGTACCCATTTTCAGAGAGGACCAATTTTCAAATTCTTCTTAAAGGAAATACAAGTCAGATAGTGGTGGACAGAGTTATATAATATTCTAAATATAAACGTAGGAAACAAAGTCAATAATTTTTATTTAAAATAATTTTAGTGTTGACATTATTGCAGGAGTCTCTCCTACTTCCCCTTTTAGAGTACCTACATTGGGCCTGGTATTTCTCTTATCCCACTACTACCATCTTACTTCAAGACTGCATTACCCCTTTCCTCTGGATAATTTTAATAGCATACAAACAAGTATCGTAACATCCATTTTATTTAAACCAATCTATTCTGCACACTAACACGGAAAGTGACTTCTCTAAAATGAAAATTTGATGTTTGTCATGTGCTTAAAAATCATTAATTAGATCCCAAACATATAACACAATGTACAATCTCTTTAACGTCTATGGTCAGTCTTTGTTCTCCTCTCTTCTCACACCCACCATTACTCTACCACTACTTCTTTACACTCGATTATTTATGTTTAACTACTTGAGACTCCTAAAATTCTCCATACTATTTTATGCATTTTTTTTCTTTGCTTCAGTTCTTGAAGGGCTTCACCTTGTACCCTCATAGCATTGCAAACAGCCACCCACTTCTATTTTCAACATCAGTCAATTCCCTATCCCAAACTTTTCCAAGAAAGAACCAAATATTCCTTCCTTGGTGCCTGTACTGATCTCAATTATAGACTCTATAATTTTTATTTTTATATTTATTTGCTTAGAGTACACTCATTAGACTATAGGCTCCTTAGGACCAGGAACCTAGTCCTAATTATCAATTTATACTTAAAATATTGGCACATCACAGATACCTGAAAAGTTTTAAATCAATGAATGAAAAACTAAGCTTCATTATTTAAATTATTTATTGCTTACAGATTAAAAGCTAAAACGTATTATCAGTTATTAAGTTATATAAATTATTTTCTTGAAATTTCTGATTTACTCCATAATCATTACCCTATTGTATGTCCTCATCTTGCATTTTACTGCCCGGCTAATTTTTCAAAAGCCTACATTCACATACAACAGCATCATTCATAAACTTATAATGAATACTATTTTAAATTCAAATATCTTCATTTACTTTCCATGGCTCTCATAAGCTGGCCCCACCTTACCCATCCAATTTCAACTCTTCATCTGGCCAATTTATTCATCATACCTATTTTATTATTAGTTATCATTGTTACTCTCTTACTATGCTTTGGTTAATAAATTAAACTTTATCAAAGCATGGATGTATAGGAAAAACATAGTATATATTGGATTCGGTACTATCTACTGGGGGGGGGAGAGTAGGAGAGAGAGAGAGAGAGAGAGAGAGAGAGAGAGAGAGAGAGAGAGAGAGAGAGAGAGAATATGAATGAGAATGGAACTGATGTGAAAGAGATACATTGGTTGCCTCCTGCACAGGCCCTAACCAGGCCAGGGATCAAACTCCCAACCAATCAATGATTCTCTCTCATCATTGATGTTTCTATCTCCCTCTCCCTTCCTCTCTAAAAACAATAAAAATATTTTTTAAAAGCAGTAACAGCCTCTCTTTAAATTAAATCTTATGTTGCAACCCAATATATAAAAGAGATAAAAAATGAGCGAATAAAACTGATTGAAAGAGCTGGCCTTTCTGTACTCACTGAGCCACATGGTAGCTCCGGACCACCTCTGCAGATCTCCTGGGGGCACCGTGGAATATAATTTGAAAACTACTGGGTTAAATTCTAGCTCTAACATGTATTGGCCATATACCCTTGGGTAATCACAAACTTATCTAACTTTCAGTTTCTTCAGATACTAAATATGTATAAGAAAGACCTTTGTAAACTTTATAGCTTCCTATAAGTTGGAGGAATTTACAAGCCATGAGCGAAACTGGCTATATTATACAATCTTAACAGTTATATCACACAATGATATTTTCTGTGAAATTATTCTATATTTTAAAATCCAGCTTTATTTAAAACAAAATGCATTCTACATGCCACTTAATTATAGGAATCCCAGTTCCTCTGCCTTATTTCTTGCATTTGGAATTAACTTTCTAATCTCCATTTAGGGGTAATAAAATATGATAAAGAGTGCATGCTTTCAAGTTAGGCAGATTTGGTTTGAAGGCCAGCTTCCCCACTAATTAAGTTTATAAACTTAGTTAAGTTACATAACCTCTCCAAGCCTTAACTTCCTCACCTCAAAAATGAAAATAACTCTATCAGTTTTGCAGTTCCTATTGGATTAAGGAAAGAAATTTGAACAAAAGAATAAGAAACCCAGTAAGAAATCCATAAGTTAACTATTATTTTCCTTTTGGAAAAACCTTTGGGAGAGTTGAAACACTTTGTGCTAATGTAGCATGTAATAATCCTTTTCCTTTTTATTCTTGAGCGAAAGTAACAGCACCAAAATCAAAATACAGTAAAGTCTATAAATGAAAAAGCATGACATATTTTATGACTCAGAATGCCAAGTTATAACACTGATGGTTTATTTCCAGACATCCTATAATAATTAAATAGCTGAAACCGGTTTGGCTCAGTGGTAGAGCGTCAGTCTGCAGACTGAAACGTCCCAGGTTCAATTCTGGTGAAGGGCATGTACATTGGTTGCGGGCACATCCCCGGAAAGGGGCGTGCAAGAGGCAGCCGGTCGATGTTTCTCTCTCATCGACATTTCTAGCTCTCTATCTCTCTCCCTTCCTCCTCTCTGTAAAAATATCAACAAAATATATTTAAAATAATAATAATAATAATAATTAAATAGCATTTCTTTCCCTGCAGATTTTTTAAATCTTCTTTAAAGCATAGACAACATATCACTTCTCAATCTTTTAGCTAAACTCAAGTGTAAAGCATACACAATGTCTTGTTCTTATTAGTGTACCCTCACAGTACACCTCCAAAGTCAGCAAATAATCAACAAATATTTATTGAATTAAACAGATTTCATATAATCAGAAATTTACCATTTAACAAATAAGTTCAAGTCAATCACCTCTTTTCAAATTGGAATGTTTGCTTCCTATCAGAAGTATTACTAACTACAGGCTATTTTTCATAAAAGTTGAAGTTTAAAGTAAAGTAAAATTTTAGGAGATATGCTAGTTCAGTGATCAGCAAACTCATTAGCCAATAGAGACAAATATCAACAGTACAACAATTGAAACTTCTTTTGAGAGCCAAATTTTTTAAACTTAAACTTCTTCTGATGCCACTTCTTCAAAATAGACTCGCCCAGGCTGTGGTCTTTTGTGGAGGAGCCACATTTAAGGGGCCAAAGAGCCGCATGTGGCTCGTGAGCCGCAGTTTGCCAACCACGGTGCTAGTTGAATATATGATCTTTCTCAAATTGAAAACAGATTTCACTATCCTTAAAATTATAAACATAAACATATGTACAATTAAGTAACTGATAGGAAAGGTGTTGGAGATACAAGAGTTAAACAAAACAAGGGAAATAAACACTATGCAGTTGTTTTTAAAAGGTAGAGGTAGCCCTAACCAGTTTGGCTCAATGGATAGAGCATCAGTCTGCAGACTAAAGGGCCCCAGGTTTGAGTTCAATCAAGGGCATGTATCTTTGTTGCAGGCTCAGTCCCCAGCCCTGGTTGAGTCATGTGCAGGAGGCTTTCAAATCAATGTGCTTTTAAACCAATCAATTTGTCTCTCAGACTGAAGTTTCTCTCTCTCTTTCACTCTCCGTCCCTTCACTAGCCCTAAAAATCAATGAAAAATATCTTCAGGTGAGGATTAACAACAACAACAAAAGGTATAGGTATTCTGTATTAACTAGAGGCCCAGTGCACAAAATTTGTACACTGGTAGCATCCCTAGTGGCTGCCAGCTGGTTAAATCCCCAGCCCCAGTTGGGGTGCATGCAGGAGGCAACCAATGGCTGTGTCTCTCCCACATCGATGTGTTGTTGTTTTTTTCTCTCGTCCTTTCTCCCCTCCCTTCCACTCTGAAAATCAATGGAAAAAATATCCTTGGGTGAGGATTTTAAAAAAATAATTGGAGAAAATACAATATACAGATGTAGAATTGAATACATGGAACCTGTATAATTTTATTAACCAATAAATTCAATTAAAATATATATTTTTTTAATTGCCCAGCTGGTGTGGTTCTTTGTTTGAGCATCAACCTATGAACCAGGAAGTTGTGGTTACATTCCTGGTTGCCAGCTCAATCCCCAGTGGGGGACGAGCAGGAGGCAGCTAATCAATGATTCTGTCTCATCGTTGATGTTTCTATCTCTCTTTCCTTCTCCCTTCCTCTCTAAAGTCAATAAAAAATATATTTGAAAAATAAACACAATTTTACGCTGTTTGAAAAATTCTGATATATAGCCGTAGTCAGATTTATAGTAGTAAAATTTCCTTAGTCCATGATGGAATTTTTTTGAGCTACTAATTTAAAGATGCTTACCTTGGGCAGCATAGGAGTATCCCTTTTCTTCTTTTTTTCTGAATTAGGGTCATCTAATAAGTCTGGCTCAAAAGTATAAAGTTCAGTAAGCTCATTCATGGTAAAATGACGTTCGACCTGCTGCTGATCAACAACTCTAAAGGACAATGACTGCTTAGTTACTTGCCGATCATAAATCTTATCTTCCATGGTTCCCTTTGTAAAAAGAAGGAACATTATACAAATAAGTAAATTATGTAAACACAAAACTTAATCAAGTGGAAATATAGTTATTGGTTAATATGAAATGGCAAAACATCATAGCAATATCTGCCATAAAGCAAATTTTATTAGCAGTGCTACTTAATTCATGAGAGATTTCACTTGCTGAATATAGTTTATCTTGACAAAAATCATTCTCTATTATCTTATTAATATGATTCATATGTTGCTTTATATATTTCTGAAGCTGGCAGAAGTAGGAGAGCAGTTAGGCACCAAGGTAAACAGAAATAAATGAGTACATAAAATAAGAATTTAGGGGGTATTGAAGTAAGATTGCAAGAGGGCAGCTTAATAACTTTTCAATGGATTATATTAAGCTCTCAGTAATCACTATAAAATTACTTTATATCAAGTCTTACTTTCTATAATTTCAGGACAGAAAATTAATGCAGCTAAAATGTCATATCTATTACATACTTAGCATTCTAAACTAGAACAAAAAGGAGTTCTTAATTTAAATAATAGGAAGGAATTTATAATGTAATTTACCAGTTATACCGTGTACTAAAAAAGATCATCAAATGAGCAAGGATTTACCAATAAAAACCAGTCTCAGGTTGAGAAACCCAGAGTTTTAGGCATGTAGAAAGAGCAGCATATGCTCCAAAAGCTATTATCATAAGTTAACTTTGTATTTTTACTTATCTACATTCCTCAAATTAGGAGACTCTGGTGGCCACTAAAAACAATGATCATTTGACCTTTGTTTCTTTAAGCAATTTAGATTTAGTTATTGGTTTTTCTATGTATGTTAAGGAAAAGAACTATAAATGAATGGGGGGGGGGACAGGTAAGATATGTACCCAGATAATAATTTAATAAAAAATAAAAATAAAAAAAAGAACTATAAATGTTTAACTTTCCTGAACTAGCCAGAAAATGCTATGGGGAGAGAGGTGAAGAGCAACTGGAAGAAAGAAGGTGAAGGGATTAGCCAAAGAACATATACCGTGTTTCCCCGAAAATAAGACATCCTCTGAAAATAAGACCTACTTACAGGTTTCCTTCTGAGTGAAATATAAGGCTCCCCTACGCCCCCCCCCCCCCCCACTAGGCTAAACATGAGAGATTTGGTCCACTGATTCTGAAAGAAATGGAGTCACAAGAAATTCACCAGGAAATTCAGGAACTGGATTGTTATGATGATGTTCCAGATGATGATGATATGATTGTCATTGAATAAATGAGTAAATTCTTGATACTGTAGGATTCACAATTTGTCTGGTTTGTGTTGACAACTACCGTACTACCGTACCGTATACAGGTAATAAATTTCCTTTATTTTCATTTAACAATAAATGTGTACCGTATTCTTCTTCATGGAAAAATAAGACAAGCCCTGAAAATAAGACCTAGCGCATCTTTGGGAGCAAAAATTGATATAAGACACTGTCTTATTTTCGGGGAAACAGTGTATGTATAGCCCAAGGGCACGACAGTGGTGAAGCTCCCCCTTCCCTGGCGGTTGGGTCGGGGAGGTGGGTAAAGGGGGGAAAAAAGAAGGCGGGGAGATAAGGGATATCTGTAATTATGTTAAAAATTTTTTTAAAGCTAAATATGTTTACCCATGCAAATCCATCTCAGTCTGAGAAAGTTGACATTATAGATGTCAAGATATGAAAGAACAACAAACAGAAAAATGTGATATTCCAAAACTGACTGCTGCTGCTTTATATATAGGAATGATGTTTTCAACTCTGTTTGCCTCTCTAATACATATATAATATATTCTTCATTCCAAAAATAAAAATATTGTTTCACCCAACAATACAATAAAAAAAAGAAGAAAAATATAAATTATAAACTTACCTGAGCTAAGAACCTATATACATATACAGGTTTAGTTTGTCCAAAGCGATAAACTCTGAATATACTCTGGATATCATATGATGGATTCCAAGAAGCATCAAATATAATCACTCGATTAGCAGCTACCAAGTTAATGCCAAGAGATCCTGCTTTGGTGGAAATAATAAATAATCGTCCCCTGAAAATGAAAATATAGAATGAATTCTCTAGTAATCCGTGTTTCACAGATATTTTAATTACGCTATGACTTTTTAATCCTAAGGCAGTTTTCTGAACAATCAAGAGTTCAGAGAATTCATTTCTCACTGAATAAAACAAGACATGGCTAAAGAATCAGATTAAAGCTTTATATGCCCAGGAAGAATCTTAATGCTGAAAAATGAAAGTCTGAATTAGGAATAAAAATTTGGAAATCACATATTAATAATGTATTCAAAGTATTTACAGATTTCTGAGTGAATGTAGAAAATTTAAGTATAACTCAACAGTCCATATTATGTTAGTACTCTTATTACCATTAAGAACATTTAAATGAAGTAAACTGTCCCATGAACTGAGTGTAGTAGGGGTATCTATATGCAATTACAATGCAGCATAATGAAGGTATGGAGAGAAATTAGATAGACGCAAGATACTGATGAAGCTAAAATAGGACCAAGAAGACAGAGAACCTCAAGAAGAATGGGTTCAAGGAAAAAATAAACTGATAGATAACCTGATGTATCAGAACACAAGAATTTATATTTCTGTAGGAGAATTTGGGAATGAGTGATAGGTTCATAGAAACTGAGAAGTGGATAAAATAAACATAAAAAAAGGAACTGAGTAAGTAGTAAAAATAAACTATTCAACAAAAATAAACAGGTATACAAAAAAGGAAAAATAATCACAATATTTCAAATAGCTTCAGTGTGAATATTTACATACTCACAATAAAGGAAACACTCCAAATTAATTAAGATAAATACTATGAAAAATATATACTAAGGAAATAAATGAGAAAAAATGTGTGTGTGTGCGCGCGCGCGCGTGCATGCATGCATGCGGGTAAATTCCCACATGAGATTGTAGAAAGGACATATGTAAGTAAATACCAGAAGAATTGCCAAAAGTTGATATTGGTTACCTGCAAGGAATAGAAATCATGGGTAGAAAGGGGTTGCTTAAGGATCTATGAGCATTCCTTCAAATTTATTGGTAAACATCATGCTTGGTAGCTGCATAATATTCTATTGAATGACTATATAATTTGTTTACTGTTGGCAATTTAGAATAAGAAAACCCCTGAAATATAATAAACGTTCAACCATCTTTATAAAATACCTTTATACACCAAGTCTTATAAGACCATAAGGTCGAAAACAAAAAATATATATAATAGAGGACTAAATTATATTCTGGTTCTTCAATAGTTTAAATTTCCATTAAAAATTTGCAAATTATAGTATGTGATAAAAACAGGATATAGAACCTTACATATAACAGAAACTCCATTAAAAAAACAAAAAAACATATAGCCTGACCAGCATGGCTCAGTGGTTGAGCAATGACCTATAAACCAGGGGGTCATGGTTTAATTCCCGGTCAGGACACATGCCCAGGTATCAGGCTCTATCTCCAGGAGGGGCCATGTAGGAGGCATCCAATCAATGATTCTCTCTCATCATTGATGTTTCTATCTCTCTCTCCCTCTTTATTCCTCTCTAAAACCAATAAAAATATATATAAATATAAAATATACATACAATATTAACAGTGGTTATCCTGGTCACTAGGGATGACAATAATTATTTTCTTTATACTGCTATAATAATACACAATCATTATAGAAAACAAACTCTGTTTTCTTTAATTAATAAACATATATAAGGTTTAAGGGCAAATGCTGCCCCCAAATTACTCCACTTATTTATATCTATTCCACACCAGCAAAAGGATCAAGTACATAGAAAAGTATAAACTATGTAGGTTAAACACACACACACACACACACACACGCACACACACGCACACACACCACAGGAAACTTTGTAGAAAACTTCAACTTCAAAGCTCTTTGGTAGGAATCCACTAATATATTATAGAGTTGCATGAGTTTAATAAGCATGGTTATCACACCATTATGCAACCCAAATACTAAGCTAGAATGGGAATACAAAAGATCAAAAAATATCTGGTCAGAGCACTATAGAAGACCACCTACTACAAGACACAAGACATATAAAGAATTGTAACATAGTCTAATTTACATCAATAGATGTATTTATTTATAAGGTATACATGTGATCAATGACATTTTATTTTAAAAGCATACAAGTGGGATTACAGTATATCCCCATTAACAAAAATTAATTCAAAATAGATCAAAGACCTAAATATAAGACCTGAAACAATAAGTTACATAGAAGAAAGCATAGTTACCAAATTTATGGACCTTGGTCATACAGAACATTTTATGAACTTGACTGTAAAGGCAAAAATAAATAAATGGGACAATATCAAACTAAAAGGCTGCTGCACAGCCACAGAAATGGACAATAGAACAAGGAGGCAGCCAACCAGATAGGAGATGATATTTACAAACAGTAGTTCTGGTAAAGGTTTAATTTCCAAAATATCTAAAGAATTCATAAAACTCAATACCAAACGAACAACCCAATCAAAAAGTGAGCAGAGGACCTGAAAATACACCTCTCCCAAGAAGACATATGAACAGCCAACAATATATGAGATGTTCAACCTCACTGACAATTAGAAAATTGCAAATCCAAACTACAATGAGATACCACCTCACACCTGCTAGAGTTGCCATTATCAACAATATAAGTGATAACAAGTGTTAGAGATGTTGTAGAAAAAAGGAAACCCTCATTCACTGCCATGGGAATATAGACTGATATAACCACTATGGAAAGCAGTCTAGTGATTTCCAAAAAAATTGAAAATAGAGCTACCATATGACTGAACGATTCCTCTCCTGAGTATATACCCCAAAACCTCATGTATTCACAAAGATATCTGCAGCATTATTCATGGTGGTCAAAACATAGAAATAACCAGTGTCCTGTGACAGAGGACTGGAAAAAGATGTAGTACATGTACACAATGGAATACTATCCAGCCATAAGACAGGATGAAGTAAACCATGTACAGCAACATGGATGGACCTTAAGAACATTTTGCTAAGTAAAATAAGTCAGTCAGAATAAGAACCATATGATTTCACTCATAAGTGGGATTAAAACTGAAACTTGTGAACACAAACAGCAGTGTGGTGGTTGCCAGAGGGAAAGAGGTGGGGGAAGAGGGATCCTAATATATGGAGATTTGACTTTGGGTGGTGGGCATATGGCGCAATATACAGATCTTGTAACAAAGAAACCCACACATGAAACCTGTCTATTCATGTTGACCAATGTCGTCCCAATAAGTGTAATTTTTAAACAAGTAAAAGTATACAAGTGGGAAGCAAAATTGCTTAATTTTGTCTCCAAAAGGAAAAAAAATAAAAGAAAGAACCAGAGACAGGTGACTGAACTATTAGTAAGAATTATTATACAACTATTTAACCTTCGATATTATTCAGGCTGGAATATGTAAGTCTACACTGAGATAAATTAACCAGGATATTTTTAGATTTAAATACTAAACATCAGCATTAAAGTATACACGAAAAAAAGTATGCACTAAAAAGAAAAACAATGAAAATATGAACCATTGTTTGAATAGTGCTGCTTTATAGGTCTATTGGTAAAAACATGCATTTTGTTAGGCATATACTTAAAGTAGAATTGTTGGGTCATAGGGTATGTGTATGGTTCTGTCAAAGATGAACAAATAGTTCAAACTGGTTATTCCAATTCACATTCCCACCAGAACTGTATGAGAGTTCCAGGTGTTCGACATCTGTGACAATGGTATTGTTTTTTATTTTAACCTTTAGAAAATAGTTTAAGGGTCACACAAATGTGCAGCATGAATACAGAAAGTTCCTGAGTACCCTTCAAACTGCTTTCCCCTTTGGTAATAACTTACATAACTATAGTACACTGTGACAACCAGGAAATTGACATTGGTATAATGCTATGAACTCAGACACAGAGCTGATTTAACTTTCACAAGTTTTTACTTGATTTTTATTATTTTTAAAATATATTTTATTGATTTTTTTACAGAGAGGGAGGGAGAGAGATAGATAGTTAGAAACATCGATGAGAGAGTTATCGATCAGCTGCCTCCTGCACACCCCCTACTGGGGATGTGCCCACAACCAAGGTACATGCCCTTGACCGGAATTGAACCCGGAACCCTTCAGTCCGCAGACTGACGCTCTATCTGCTGAGCCAAATTGGTTTCGGCTTTACTTGATCTTTAATTTTTAAATATATTTTGTTGATTTAAGGATAGTTAGAAACATGGATGAGAGAGAAACATCGACCAGCTGCCTCCTGCACACACCCCACTGGGGATGTGCCTGCAACCAAGGTACATGCCCTTGACCGGAATGGAACCTAGGACCTTTCAGTCCAGAGGTCAACGTTCTCTCCACTGAGCCAAACTGATTAGGACTTCACAAGTTTTTATATGTACTTTTTTGTTTGGTTAAAGTTCTAAGAAACTTTACCAGGTATGTGGAACCAAGTAACCATGACCGCAAGCAGGATACAGAATTGTTCTATCACCACACACACATACACACTCACACAAAACCTTCTTTGTGTTACCCTTAGTATGTATAACCTACTCTTAACCCTAATACTTGGCAACCCCATGTATGTTCTCTATCATATAATTTTGTTACATCAAGGCCACATGTATGTAATCATACAGTATGTAATCTCTGAAGACTGGCATTTTTCTTTCAGCATAAAGCCCATCAACCCATCTAAACTGTTGACTAGATCAATATCAATAGTTCATTCCTTTTAAATTGATGAGCAGTATTCCTTTATACAGATATGCTACCATTTATTTCTCTATTCACATATTAAAGGTTATCTGGTTTGTTTCCAATTTTTGGAAATCACAAAGATGCTAAGAACACCTGTGATTGGTTTCTATGTGACCTAAGTTTTAAATTCTCTGGCATAAATATTTAAGAGTGTGTTTGCAGGGTTGCATGATAAACAAATATTTGTTTTTTTAAAACTATTAAGTTGTTTTACAGGAGAGTGGTTG